AATATTTTAAAAAATTAATAAATATATAAAAATATAAAAAATATACTGAATTCTTGTATTTTTTTGTATTTTTGATATTTTGTGAATTTTTAAAAGATTTTTTTTATAATTTTTTTACTTTTTAGGTGTATTTATGCTAGGTGTGTCTAAAAAGTAAAAAAATTACTTAAAATATTAAAAAAATTCAGTAAAAATAAAAAAATACGAAAAATAAAAAAGTAAATTTTTTTGAAAAGTATTTTATGAAAAATGAAAACAAACAAGCTGGTTATTATATATAAAATTTTTGTACAAAAATCTATTCATATATCATTATTTACAACAACAAAAAAAACTAACCAATTTGTTAAACTGATCCATTTTAATTACTTATGAAATTCTAGTTGTATATCATCATTACTCACAAGAAAAATTGAACAATCCTTTTTTTTTATTATTATTAAGTTGATCCATTCTAGACAAAAGAGATGAATAAAAAATTAAAGGGTAAATTACAATGACCTTCTCTAAAGATTGAAGAAAATAGGATAAGTTCCACAATTTTAACATAATTATATTATGTTTTTTTGAAATTTTAATTTATATAACATTTAGTTTCCTTTTCATCTATAATTTGTTAGCCACATTACGAACTTATAGTTCATTAAGTCCTAATTAAGATTTTTTGGATCCTCAAGTTCCATTAAATTTTTAATAGGTAGAATTGCCCTTCAAATAATGATTGTTCATCATTTATAATTATCTATAAATGAACATGATGATTTGACATTTATTTTAATTTTCAAAACTTTTGAATTGAAAAAACTAAATATATATGTGCGTGTGCGCGCGCGCGAACAAAAAAAAAAAATCTAATAAGAGAATTATTTTTTTTTAAAGTTTAAAGTTTTTTTTTTTTTTGAAAAAACTTGAATTTTTTTTGTGCAAAATTGAAAATTTTGTGTCTATAAAAGAGCATGGTGATGGAACATTGATGTGCAAAACTCAAAAAAAAAAAACTTTAAAAATGAAAAAACTGATAATGTTTTCGATTTTATTGGATAGTTGAATCAAACCAATAAGTAGAAGGACAAAAATATTTAATCTCATGCTCTGTTTTTTTTAACAGTTAGTGAAATAATTATCTAGAACATTACTTTGCAAAATTGATAATGTTCTTAGTTTTAAAAATTGAAAAAGACTGATAGTATTCTCAGTTTTACTAAATAAGACTTATTAATTCAAAAAAAAATCTCAAATAGCTATCATAACATTTGTAAATAGGATTTTTAGATAATTAACTCATAGAAAAATAATGTTGTCATCTATTTTATATTTAAATATTTATTTTTTTATTTATTTTTATATTTTCATACCATTTGTATTTGTTTTAATCTATTTAATTTTATTAAAATAAAGATTAATATATATATTTCTAAATTATAAAATTTATGTATTTTATTCAAATTTTAGAAGAGGGCAATATAATTTATTTAAAATTAAAATATGAAAAAAAAAAGAGTAAAATTTGTGGTTGTTACACATTCCCATATAAAGTTTTGGAAGTTGACAAGTAGAGTTTCATGCCAAAATAAAGTAGAGTCCACTTGCTAAGCTATGGAAACTCATAATTATGGCTATATAATAGGTTGGGTATATGAGCACACAGTTGTCTTGGCTTTGATGTTAAGTTGTTTTTACCATGAAACATGCAAGTTCAGTTCAGTGCCAATCACTTTAAGAGAGAGTGAGTGAGTTAATAATTGAACTAAGTTGTGATGATGACCTAAAAAAAGCAGTGCATAACTACTTAAAATGATGAAATCTAGGTCACAACTAATTGTTTTCAATGAAAAGTTATAGGAAATGTTAATAATAAGTGTCATTGATGTTTTGTTAAAGCAGGATTTCTTGGACTCAAAATATTTTGAATTTAACATTTTGATTATTTTAATATAAAATATTTTTTAAATTGAAATTTTATTGATATCACTACACAATCACTCTACCACCCTTACTAATAGTACCTTACAACTATCATCATTTACAAAACCACCTCACCACCACCACCGCCCTACCACTTCCACTACTCCACCGCCGTCACCACCAACGCCATCCTAGCGTTGCCACCACTACAGTCGCCACCAACACCATCCTAATATTGTCACCACTACTGTACAACCACTACTATTATTGCCCAACCATGACTACCACAATACCTACCACCACCAATAATAGAGGCAAAACTTACACCTCCAATGGGAAGGACCTAGAAAAGTTCTTTCAAAATCTTTAATTACGAGGGGGAAAAAAATGTCTTTGATCTTAGATACTATGACTGGAAAAATAGCAAATTTTGTTTTGAACTTGGTTTTTTTTTAGGCTGGAATTGATAGATTTTCTCTTCCCATTGTAAAAAATAATCTTGTATTTTTTTCTTTTTTCTTTTTTTTATCTTTTTCTTATATACCAAGGACACTTAATATCAAGATCCAAAATTTTAAGGCACCCACTTTTTCTCCCCTTGAACCCAAGTGCCTTCAAAAGGCTCCAAAGCATTGAACAATCATGCAATAGGTTCTTTATATTGGAGTGTTGAGACTACTTAAGATTACTAATTATTGGCATTGTTCTTACAACTCAAACAAAAACTACTAAGCCTATATAGCTAGTAAAGTCATGGCACCAAAGCCATTCAAGATTCCTCAGTCTAACTAACCTTCAAATACATCATAGATACAAGGTGGTGGTCATCATTTTTATTCATTGAGAAAGATCATCCATGTTTAGTTCCAAAGGAACAATGTCCTGGTTTTGTGTTCCCAAACTCTTTGTTATAACCTTTTTCTTTTTCTCTTTTTGGTTTAATGCAAAAATCTCTAATCTTAGGAAATTCAGTTTAGAGCATTTGCTCAGATCAGAAGTCACTCGCATGCGCCTTTGCGGCCGCCGTCTCCCACTACTTTTATATTTTCAGAATAAAGAGGCATCCAAAGTTGCGCATTTGGTTTATTATTATTATTATTTGGTTTATTATTAGTATTATTATTATTATTATTTTTAAATAAAAATACAAAAAACCGATATTTGCTTTGGAGAAACAAAATTTATTTCAAAAAACACTTGTTTTTAGGAAAATATTTTTAAATTGTTTTAAAAACTCATTTAGTTTCTATTTTCATTTTTTAAAAATTATAAATAGTATACAAATTTTACTCAATTATTGTAACAAAAAGAAACAAGTCATCACTTGTTTTGAAGCACCATTGATAACTTTTATGATCAAGCTTGGGACCTGCAAAACATCTTCTAACCTCATTTGGCTTTTTCGGAAGAATCACTAGCATCAAACACAGATTAAATTTAGCAATTAAACGGCTCACTAACAGAAATTGGTATCTAGGTTCTTCATTACTATCCATTTAACAACCCATCTTAACATTTAAGTAACATGTTTGAGTTGTTTCGTTTGGTAGAAATGGAAAATGTGGGAATGTGGAACAACAATATACCCATTGATAAAAAAATTGCCATGCTACATATTCCAGTCAAATATATCCAAAAACATTCCATGATATGTGTAGCTATAGTTCGTTGCAGAAAACTTTGAGTGAGCTTTTGGTAACGGACATGAGAATGACGAGTATCAGGCAAAGCTATCATTTTAGAAAGAAAAGGATACTGATTTAATTTACATGATTTACAGTCTCAAATCACCTTACTTAGTTTCTCCATTGTCAACTTTCATGGATCAAGTTAGACGGCTCACTCAAAACAAACTTGGGTAACTCGTACTTTGCACCTGGAAAACAAAAATAAATAAATTGAATATTAAGCTCAAGGAAGCACTGAGAAAGAGAATGATGTTATGGAGGTTGCAAATTAGATAACACACCTCTCTCATCATAGCAAATTGTCAAGTCTGGGGCTTGAACAATGACACCAGCACTGTCCACAATTGCTTGTGCAAGGGTTAAATCAGCCTCGGCAGCAGCTCGGAGTGCATCCCAAATTTCTAATAAAGAGCGCAATATTCAGATATTTTCTTTTCAACTGCTAACCTTATTTCTCAAAGTTCCTCGCGTGCATGAAAGAATGACAAGTGAATGAAGTTTCATCAAATTTATACAACCTATCCCCATCAATGCAATCACAGGTACAATCAATATTATACATATATATATTAGGGTTTGAAAAAACCAAATTTGATTGTAATGTCATAACAGAAAAAAGAGAAAGCACTAAGGAAATTCCGAAAGACTAGATCATGCATTTCCACCCTCAAAAGAATTTTACGACTTCATATGTAACATTTAAAGTTCCGATTTCACGGTGAAATAGCAGAGAAAGTATGTAGTGGTACTTGTAATGTTTGATATTCAGCCAGTTCCCTGGACACTTTACCAAGATACTAAATTCGAATAGAAAGTGCCCCCACATGATCTACATATTGTACTACCCAGAGGTGAATGCATGGCAGATGGACCAATGAACCTTCAATTATCCTTTATAAAGGTTTACAAAATCCAAGAAGAAGAAGAATAAGGAGAGGACATATAATTTGAACCTTCAATTACCTTAACTTGCAGCTTTTCAATCATACACTCCTTTTCTAGGAGGAGAAATGAGGAAAGGACATATAATTTGATAACAAGCAGTCTTTTAATTGTATTTTGTGTTGTTGGCAATTACTCTTTACCAAGACACTACAAAAATGACCAGACACTGAATACACTTTTACAGGGAAAGAATACCTTTTCGGCCACCATAGTGTGGAGCTGTGTCCCAGAACTCCTCACGCAGCTGTTTGAGTTGTGCTCTCGTAATTGGTTCCGAATGCTTCCAAGGCTTTGGCTTTCTTACTTTCTTAATACTTTCTGTGATCACAAACAAAAAAGTGACTCCGAAAAGGTACATTGATTTAAGACAATATTCAAACTGGCAATCTTTCATTTTCTTTGATAGGTAATACTCAAGCTGGCAATCTTGTTAAGTCATGTATTAACGTCAAGTTTATGGTAAAAAGAATTACATTTCTAATGCTGTAAAATCCCATCATCAAATTAAATAATCAACACATACTAGCAGTCTAGCAGATTTCCCTCACCCCCCACATATAAACATGTAAATTAAGATGAAGCCAGTTTTATGTGCCTTTCACATTTTGTTGTGATGATTCCTCTCCTCGTTAACTTTCATCATAGGGTGCTACCACCAGACGGGTTTGATGACAAATTTAACAATTCCAAACATGCCTTATCAAGTAATCCTTATCCTCCACTTCCTCCATTCACTTCATATTCTCTGGATTTTAGTCTAGGAGACTCAAATAGCATGAATAATAGCCAAATCATGATGGATAACTCAAAAACAAGACACAAGACAAGTTAAAATAAATAAAAAGATTTATACGACATTATATGCGTGAAAATCAAAAAAATAAATGAAATATAATAAAATAGGAGGTACCGACCATAAGTCATGGTAGAAATTTTCCACTACTTGACAATAACATATGTCTTGGGTGTCCGCCTATGAACTTGCCAAAAGTGAGAAGCATAAAAATTGAAAACTGGAATCACTTTAATAAGATTTGTTGCATAAGCATTTATTAAAAATAAAATTTTGTAGCATAAGTAACCTTTCAAGATACTAGCACACCAAGAAAAAAAAAATTCATGCAGCAGTTAATTTACCAAAGCAAGAAAGAGTTGTATGCTCCAGTTCAACATGAGCTACACCGCTCAGCATCTAGGCCACCAAGTGATGGATCACGATTGAGCATGCTCATAATAGTATTGGAGGAAGGCCCAATTTATTTTTACGAAAAAGGAGATAGGTTTGACATATAAATTAGGGCGAATTACACTAACGGTCTCTATAATTTGGGCATTGTGTCACTTTAATCCCTGACTTTTCAATTGTGACACATTTGACTCTAAATTTTAAATTTTGTTTTAAATATGGACAATTGAAGATATCATTGCTTAATTTCAAGAGCAAAGTCGTCAATTTGATAAAATATAAACTAATTTGACAAAAACAAATGTCAAAAAAATATTTTTAAATTTTTAAAAATTATTTCTACCCACTAAAGATAAAATTATGTAAAATTGATAAATTTTTTAGATATTTATTTATTTTACCAAATTAATTTTTATTATGTTTTTGGATGATGATCATGTAATGAGTAGTTGTTTTTATTTTCATTAAATTAGTTTCTATTTTTTCAAAAGTCAAATATGACAACAATTTGATATCATTATTAAACCAATCCATTAAATCAAAAAATCCAAAACTAAAAACATTCATATATTAAATATATCAATTACACATTAAAACTTAACACCACCCATTACATAATCATCATCTAAACACATAATAAAAATTAATTTGGTAAAATAAATAAATGTCTAAAATATTTATCAATTTTACATAATTTTATCTCTGGTGGGTAAAAATTATTTTTAAAAATTCAAAAATATTTTTTTGTCATTTATTTTTGTCAAATTAGTTTATATTTTATTAAATTGATGACCTTGCCCTTGCCCTTGAAATTGAACAATAGTATCTTCAATTGTCCTTATTTGAAGCAAGATTCAAAATTCATGATCAAATGTGTCACAATTAAAAAATCAATGATCAAAAGGATACGAGTCTCAAACTATAGGGACTGTTATTGTAATTCGCTCTATAAATTAATATGAAATGTAATTGAAATGATGCAATGAATTTGAGGGGGGGAAGAAAGAAATAAAGAAAAGAAACTAGCAAAAATTGTGTCAGTTCTTTGTTCCTTTCAGGGTTAAAATGACACACTTGAGAGTCAATGGACAAAAACAGCGCTATGGGCATGCAAACACACAGCAGATAACGAAATAGTGGTGGCAGTGTAGTGATTGCTTGTGTCAATGAAAATGGCTTCCACATATATTTTCATAATCCAGGGCCTCTGCGCAGCTATGACTCATAATCCAGGACCTCAAATCAGAAGTCTGTTAAATTTTCTTCTTTTTCTTTAAGCAGTTTATTCTCAAATATAAACCAAGAATTGAAGTGTTTCCTGCAAGTCAGTTCACAGCTAGTTTGATGAGTATAATGCTGTTCAGTTTGTTTGTTGGACACTCTATCTCATAGTAGTGAAGTGCTGTTGTTGGTGTGGTTGGCTTGTATTTCTAAGGGGTATGCCCCTTTTTAGTTTTGTATCCTGTTTGTATTCTAAGGGGTATGCCCCTTGTTAGGAGAGCAGTTCAATGCTTAATTCAAATCAAATACAGAGGGTGTTCCAGTAATTTCTAACAATGCCAACAGTTGATAAATCTTTGGCATTTACAGTTGGCAAAACAACAATAGCTCCTGACCTTTTTTCTTGTTTTTTTAATGACTAGAGTAGAGATTAAAACCTAGAAAGTTCTCCTCAATCCATCTCTCTTTTAACTAATTACATGCTCTTTTTTAAAAATAATAATAATAATAATAATCCGTAAGAAAACTCCATGACATTGGAGGTGTTTGGAAAGAGGGTTGGGCTAAAATATCCCACTAAAAAAAAAAACCAAAATAATCAATGAGACAAAATGTCACAATCAACCCAAAGTCATTTTACTTTTTCTCTCACAACCATCAAATCAACTACAAAAAAAAAAAAATTCCCAAACACAATTATTTTAGCCACGCTAAAATAGCCAAATAGACAACTAAATAACCAACTTCCCAAGGCCAATGATAGAATTTCTAGATTCAATTGAGTTTCATACATGGTTTGGCTTACATTCGATTCAAAATTGATCAAATGGTGCCAAATTACACCTATTTGATAGAAAATATGCACAACCAAAATAGTATATGAGTGAACAAAAAATCATATAGTGCATCAAGAACAAGAAGAATTAGATATATATCTGTGAGAGACCTCTCGCTAAAAATAAAAACTAAAAAGATAATTTAACTTTTTTTTAGATTTTAAGAAATCAAAAATATATAAAACAACTATGACCATATGGTCATATCTAAATTCATTTATTTTAAAAAGTAATTTTCTAGAGTTACTTCATCCAATATATTCTTAGAGAAGTACATTAATACTCTTACCAGGATGTAAAGAATTTACTATAGCTATGGGATTTTTTTTTTGCTCCCATCAACAATAGCTATGGGCTTTTAAAAGGGAATCTCTAAAAAGCTATTTGGGTTGAAGAAACATTTTGGGATTAGGATTACAAATTTACGCTCCGTTTGTTTGGACGGAAAGCATTTTTTGAAAATATTTTTCCTATTTTCTGATGTTTGGTACAATAAAAAGCGAAATTTAACAGAAAACATTTTTCATGGTCAATAAAAAAACAAGTCTATTTAAACAAAAAATATTTTCTACTTTTAAAAGGTAGAAAATGTTTTCCGGACTGAAATCTTACCAATATCACTACATTACCACCGCCACCCTCGTCACCGCTGCCATTCTCATCTCCACCACTGTCATCACCATGGCTACCGCCACCATCATCATCGCCATCACTGTCACCCCCACCCCCACCCCACCAACCCCTTTGTCCACCACCACTACTACCAAACATAGAAAAATATTTTCTACAGAAAACATTTGTAAGAAAAAAAATTCAGTGGAAAATGTTTTCAGTTAGAAAATGTTTTCTCCCCTAACAAATGGAGCATTTGATATATATATATATATATTGTTTGTTAAAAAAAGGAAATATTAACAAATTGGCAGGGAGAATTGGAACTCTTGAGGGGCATGTGGCAATTAAACTGTGGTTCAAAGAAAAACTTTGGGAGGGCAGCCTATATATACGACAAGGACTCAAATCTATGACATTTTCTAAAATGGATGGACTTTCAACATTCCCACCACCTCCCCGTCTCCTACATCCATCATTACTACAATGATAAGAAAAAATAAACTTGATTATATGAGAAGGATGAGGATGAGGAAAAAATAAACGGGTGTATGAAATAAGCAACAATACCCTTAGGCATTGGAGAATTATGAAATGGGATTTCTGAAAACAACCACAAATAGTTAGACAAGATCATACGAGACTTTATAGGAGCGAACCAATTACAGTCAAGCATTAATGCCATTGGGAGGCAAACACCAATGCAACAGTAAACCCACAAACTATGCAGGCTTAGTTTTCTTTATTTTATTTTTTTGGTTCCTTGCTTTTATATGGGTTTTTAATCAAAAAATAAACATAAAATTCAATAGATTTAAAACCCAAAATCAAGCATTTCACCTACAAGACAGGCAGATCATATACACCTTGAGAGTAGAATAAGAAATTCACATCATTTACACAATATTACCAAGCACAACACAACAGTGTCATAACATAATTTTGACCCCAAAGAATTAGAAATTACCAAAATTTTAGAAAACTCTGAACTTGTGCAAAAAATAACTAATACTGAATTTATAGTGGAAAAAAATCAAAATGCCACCCCAACATTACAATCTGAGTAACATTATTAAGTTGCAATTCTAACCCAAAAATTAGACTCACTTCTTAAATTCAATGCTGTGCCAATCAATTGGAATATTTAAAGCAATTCTCTCACATATGTTCTCTAATAATCAATCAATCATTTATCTTAGGTTTGAAAATGGGTCTAGAAAATGAGTTTGTACATCACTTTCCTATTATTGAACGATACATCATAGAGGAACTAAAAGAATTCCTTAGAGATCAATGAAAGTAGTATTCCAAGGCAACAAAATCAATGCAAACTTAGCAAATAAATTCAAGAAGAGAGGGAAAAAAAAGGGAAAAAAAACTCAATTTTTTTATCCAAATCAAATATCTGAATCGAAACCGAAGCTACAAACATGAAAAATACAAAGTGGCAAGTCAAATCGACATCTATATATGCATGTATATAAACTAAACTATAAAATGACGAATCAAAAGAAGACAATAAAGGATCAGAATCGGACCGTCTCCTTCAGCAAGCGACGATCCAGTACAGCCCATGGTGTTCACTCACTCGCCGATCGAAGAGAGAAGCTCTGCGCCGGCGATTCCTCCGGTGAACTTTCCGGTGAGTTCGATCCGATTGGAACCACTACTCTCTCTCAACGATAGCTATAGATATACATACACATTCTGTATGTATAAAACACTAGTGAGAGAGAGAGAGAGGTGGGAGTCCACTTTCTTTCTTTCCGGTGTACTCGAACTCGGTTGAAATTTTACCAGGGATTCCGTGCGGGTCATGATAAGTTACCCATCAGTCTCACAAATTTTTTGAGCAATCTAGCTCAAAAAAAGAGACACGTGTCGATTTGTACACTAAATCAAAGTCCGCATTTTTTGTTTAAGGCTAGAAATATTAAATTTAGGGCAAATTACAAACACCCCTCGAGGTTTAGTAAAAATACAGATTCCTCCCTGAGGTTTGAGAAATTACATCTCGCCCCTTGAGGTTTGTATTTTCATAACAAATTGCCCCCTGAGGTTTTTATTTTCATACAGATTCCCCCCTAATTTTTCCTAATTTGTTATGAAAATTTGACCCTCAGGGGGCAATTTGTAATTTTTCAAACCTCAGGGGAGAATCTGTATTTTTACCAAACCTCGAGGGAGTGTTTGTAATTTGCCCTTAAATTTATTACCAAATAAATAACCAAATGACTCATACCCATATAACACATTTAGTTATTTATTTAATAGAACGTAACATTTTTTGTTTTGTTTTGTGCAATAGTATGTAGGAGTAATTATTGCAAGTTTTGTTAGGTAATTTAAAGGGTGTTTGGAATTTATTTGTTTTTTAAACAATATTTTGAAAATCACCATATAACTTCTCAATGAAATCTAATAATTTATCATATATAAGAGAATTTGCATTTACCTTAACATCTTCAACTTTCTTGAAACCAATATTTGTCATTTTATTATTATTGCTTTCTCCATTGGAGTAATTTACATCATCATCAACATTATCTTCACATGCAAATTTTACTTTTTTTGTGATTCAATTTTCTTGTGTCATCCCTCCGTGTGTGACTTCTAATTTTTTTTAAAATCTCTTTTGCTGTATCACAAGTACAAATTCTATCATATTTATCAGGACCAAGTACAAAATATGTTTTATTTTAACATTTATTTGAATACTTTTTATATCATCCTCATCTCATTCATCTTTCGTTTTATGAATTTTCTTTGTATCTACGATTTTGGAAGGAATAATTGAACAATTTTTAATAATCTTCCATACTATGCAGTCTATCTCTTGAATATACATCATCATTCTATTTTTCTAATAATTGTAATTATCACCAATAAAATATGAAGAATGAGTGACTATCAATAATTTGTGTTCCTATAATGGTTGTCATTGATCAACCTTAAGATTGTTAAGTCAAAAAATAAATAAGAATTCTTCTTTTGACACCAATTGTTATCTCAGGTAAGCAAACTAAGAAGGGGTGAATTAAGTTTTTAAATAAATTGTCAAATTAAAAATTAACTCAAATAATAAATAAATAAATATGCTCAACAATATAAAATAAACTAATGAAATAAAATGAGGAAAGGAAAGAGAAAACAAACTCAGCAATTTATACTAGTTCGGCACACCGGGCCTACATCCACTCCCCAAGTATCCTCCTCTAAAATTTCTCTAATATTCTTCAAATAGTAATTACACAATTAGTTTTACAGGTGTTAGTGAATCTTTACAACAATTAACCTGTAACAACTCGAAAATTTAAGTTGTTCCTTAAATTTTATATTAAAATTATTTAATTATATAAATATTATTTAATTATATATGATTTTAAAAAAATAATTTTAACTTTATATTATTATTCGATATTACTTTCTAAATATTATGATATTTTTATTATATTTTTCTAAATCAAAATACACTAAAATATATTATTTTTTATACAACAGCTTGCGTGCTCTCAAGCCGTCTTGCGTGGCACGCCTTTTCTTCACTCTATATATCTCGCTATCCATCGTCAACAGGATCATCATCAACACTCTCTCTGGCACGCCTTTTCTTCGCTATATATATCTCGCTATCCATCATCAACAGGATCGTCATCAACACACACACACACACACACTCTCTCTCTCTGTTTTTATTTTATGTATAACACTTTAAGTTTAGTTTGAAATATTTAGTGGGTCGCAGTGAACGAAAGGTAACCATTAGAATTAATATTGAATTAATATTAAGATAAATTATATTATATATTGAGTAACCATAATATATTTTACTTATATTTTAACTTACCATAAAATAAATTATATTTTATTAATTATAGTAATACAAGTTATGTTTTATAAATATTTCAGTTATGTGAATTAATTTTTGAACTCTATTTGTTAAAATGAAACTCATAGATATGTTTGTTTATATTTTAAAAAATATTTGACAATAACTTTATAAGCAATTATATTTTGTAAGTACCACCACAGAAGTCCCATGCATTGAAGGACTTAAATAACTATTGGCCTCTGTTTGACCACTTTGTGGCCCTGTGTTGTCATAGATCTATTGACCTCTGTTCTGTGCGGAGATAAGTGCTACATTATTGTAGGAGCCACCTTTATAATTTGTACGAGCCACCTCTTGAATTTGTATCTCTATTCTGACTGTCACTTCTGTGACCTCTGTTCCATTCTGTTCGATACCGTAGTTATGGTTATATATTTCTATAATCTCTGTTTTGCTACTTAAAGGATTATTTGTCTAGACTAAGTTATTTTAAATATTTTAGTTACATAACTATTCATGGTTATTTTGTGTCCCTTATACTATTGACATAATATTCTCTCATTCTGCCATGTGCTTATAGTTGTTTACCAATTTTCAGAAAATAATGCAATTCAGAAATAGCTTTTGGAAAGTCTTAAATGCGAGGCTGCAGAATAGACACACACAACACTTTTATGATATGTTTATATGTAAATATCGACATTTTTTGTCAATAAATTTTGCAATAAAAATAGAAGTTCCAATGATTATTTTGATACCCTTACATAAATATTATTTCCGTTCGCGTTTATTAATTTGTTCAAGAATTGACCAGAGGTAACTTCAGTTATTGGTCATCACGATACTTAACCCTTAAGTGCAGGTCGTGACATGACTAATCCTGATTACTCCGACTAGTTCAGAATTCGATGCCTATTCACACATCACCAAGTGATTTCATCCCAAAAATCACTCACAAAAATATCTCAACTTGTTTTGAATCCGGTGCCTAGTCACACCTAACCCAAGTGATTTTATCCCAAAAAATCACTAATAAAAACTCTCATTTTACAATAATAATATGAATAAGGGATAAAAAAATCCTTTTAATAATTTTGCTCAAACTTTCAACAAATTTTCTCATAGAAAATATAATTCAATGAAACACAATACAATATTTGACAATATCACAAATTTTTCTCTTCCTCATTTCTACTTTTTATCTAACCAAAATACTTTTTATATAGCCAAAACATGTATTCATTGGAGGAGGGGAGACACTCCTCTTCTGACTTCGAAGATGCTGCAACTCAGGTATGCTAACACGCGGAGTATGGGCACCAATCATTTTCAAATATGGCAGGCGAAGGGATTGAAAATATAGACAACAGTCACTTTCGATAAATAGTAATTCAATTTTTCCAATCATTTCTCGTAAAAAACAAAGAGTGCACAGTAACTTTTCTATTAAAAATTTAATTGTACTGTAACTTCTCTATTAAAATATTTGTATGCATAATAAAATCTCTTTAAATAATATTTATATCAGATATGAAAATATATACTATTTTTAAAATCTTTGTAATTATTGTAGAGATTTTAGATACACTCTAATAAAAATAACCAACCATCAAATTTTTATATATCAAATTTTTTCAAAAGAAAATAACTCACTAATATCACATTTGTCAAAAGAATACAACCAATCAATATCAAATTTTTCAAAAGATAAATAGTGACCGATTGTATTTTTCAAAACGTGAATAGTAAATTTTGTAAAATCATATATTGCATAGTAATTTCGATTTAAATAATATTTATAACAAATACATCATATAACATATATTTTAACAGATAATATTTTATGTCAAAGAATATAAAATATATATATTAAAAAATCATAATTTATCTCATAATATTTCAGACATTATCAAAATTAAATCACATAATTAACAAGCTTAAATTATTTTGTAGTATAAAATAAATAAATAAATAAATCATGTAGGTCACTTTCATTTTTAACGGTTCATGGTGATGGTGAGAGCCTTGCCAACCTTTATGGTGCTGATGGCAAAAAATCTAATTGTAAAATATTTTTGTTTGGTTGAATTTAAATTTTTTTTTTGAGTTTATTTTAAAAATAAAAAATAATTTAACAAAATTAAATATGAAAAATGTATTTTTAAACTTCTGAAAATTATATTTTGTTTTAAATAAGAGAAAATTAGATAAAAATAATTAGTGTTTGAACCTTTTTTTTTTTTTACCAGTTTATAAAATTAAATTTATAAATTAAAAAAAATATTCTAAAAAGTCAACCAAATATACATATTTTGATAAGATAAGATACAACAAACAAAAGCTTAAGTTATTTATAGTGATAAAAAAATTTTGGCGAATCTTTTGAAATAGTGTAATATAAACATAGAAGGTGAAGGTGAAGGTGAAGGTGAAGGTGAAGGTGAAGGTGAAGGTGAAAAGATATTAAAAAAAAATAAAAGATGAAAGAGTAAAATAGAGAGAAAGCAAAAATGATATTTTGGTTATAAAAAATATTTATTTAAGTCTCGTTTGTCAATTATATATTTAGTCAAACAGTTATTATAAATTGTTATATCATCCTTTCTACTTTTTTATATATCTTATTGTAAAAAGTCAAAAAATTATTAAGCCTTCGTTTGTGATGTGGGTTGACTTTTTGGTCTTTTAGCTTTTTTAGGATGAACTTTTTAGATTTTTTGACTTTTTATTAAATAAAAAATAAAATAATTATAGTTTGAATGTAACATTTTATCTTATTAATTTTTAGTCTATTTTATTTTTTTGGGCTAATATAGCCAAAGTGTAACCTATGCCAATCATAAAACCTATTCCCAAACAAGGCCGTTTAGACAACTCTTAAACTTTGCTGCATTCTATACAAATAGAGTAATACTCATTAAATGCTATCTTATTAGGGTTTGGCTTCTCTCAAT